AATTTTTCCCAGTGAACATCTTTTTCCACTAAATACCCTTAATTGCCGATGAGTCCATTGAGTTGCAAACAACCTCCAACCAACTACCCGAATATACTGTAAAACAATTCGGTGTACAACCCTCCAGTTCGGTTCAGTTCACTTTCAGTTTATCGGTCACCAGAAAATAGGAAAGCAGGGAAGACATGCAAAAATACTGAATACGATGGCATGTTCAGTTGGTTCGGGGAAGCCGGAAGTTTGGCACTGAAAGCGATAATTCTGATTCGTGAGTGCCAGCGAGTGATTGATTGAGCCATTTCTGTCAGTGTTAACTCCCCATGTCCCCATCCAGCAAGGCGACGGCTACCGACCCGACTGAGCAGACTGGTTGGTGTTTTCATAGACTGTCTATCTCTCGAACTCGTCCACCGAACACAGGGCTGGATAAAAATACCTCTGGAAAGCAGAAGATCCTCGGGGATGCGGAGTACATGTCCTAACCAGCTTAACCTATGGAACGTGAGTGACTCATTCATCGCAGAAGAGTTCCTTTTTCCAGAACCCATCTGATGTAACTCGCCACTGCTAATCCGATGTTCTCGCAATATCTGATCCAAGTTTCGGATCCTCGTAACACGTAAGCTGACGGTCCTGTGATAAACGAAGTCAACGCATGAATCGCAAAAGCCCGAAGTGCGCTCGCTAATTCGCACAACTTCGGGTATCAAAAAGGAATATCACTGTGTATCAAAGAGCGTGTGTATCAGACTACAGTGCAGCTGTGTTACTGTATGCCTGACAGGCTTGTCCAAATCTGGCGAAGAATTTGAAACATCATCAGATCCACCACCACCGATATTCAAGAAGTTAGACAGGCTGAAACCAGTCAATTCGGAATGAGACAACCAGGAAACGTGTGTTTGAAGTCGATAGTACTTCTAGTGAAGAACGCACCTAGGATTGCAAGCGAAGGTGTTTGGGTCATATAGTACGCACGCCGAATTGCCGGGTGCCGAGAGAGTGCAGTTTTCCGTGCCTAATTCAGAGTGACGGCAAACTTGGCCTTCTGGGATAGTTTCCACATGAACCTCCGTGCGCTTGGTTGGAGACAGTGAACGATATTGAAGGCTAACCGATGGCAGTGGCACCGGTTGATACCCTGATTGTCTGACTGAATGTTGGAGGATTCCGGGATGTATGTGGTAGGCTAGCCCCAGATCCCCCTCCCTATTCTAGTTCTTTCTTTCTTCTATTATAAGGCACAATTCAAATAAACTGACACTGTTGTATGGCATGAAGCAGCGGTACTCCCCTATGGTGTTGCTGTCGATGATGATGATGATGACTTTAGTAGTAGTAGTAGATCAGGTGACATTCTTCACTAAATTTCATGACAGCCTGAGGTCAAAAGACAATTATTTTGAGACAAAATAAAGCGTTTGGTTGGTTTCCTTTACCTTCTGATAGGAACTCAACAACCTTGATCCAATCCTGCCTAGTTAGCTTCGTCCGGGTTGTGTGGTTTGATTGCATTTCATCTCGAATCTGTTACATGAAACACGCGAAATTGAAATAATGTACCTCCTTCAACCAACGGATAGGCTCATCCTTGATCGTCACAACTCCATCAGTCTTGCTTGACATTGGAAGGATCTGAAAGGCATAAGAAAAGCTAAGGGTGTACCAAAGAATAAAGAGGGTAAAATTAAAGCGGATTCTGGTGGAATTCAGTCAGCCAGTCAGAATCATTTGTGAAAGTAAACTGGTTCTCGTTGTCACGGTCTAATTCACTGACAGCAAGGCGGAGGGTAGTGAGAGGGACAGTCTGCAAAAGTACCGCTTAGATATCATCATCATCATCATCATCGTCAGCATAACATCAGTTAAAGCTCCACTACTGTTTAGGTAAACTCGTTTAGATTGTGGCCTTAAAAGAACTATACTCTAGAGGCCGTGGCTTTGATGCAGGAACGCCAATTTGCCAGAGTCTCGACTAGGCCTCTCGGCTATTAAAGAAGGAGTCGACACCTAGTGGAAAGGGGGAGGCTGATGTCAATGTTGCATGATACTATTCTAAGCAAAGCGCAATTCCTGTCCACGTAAATCTCATGCCCCTCAAGTCCCACGGCAACTTTCATGGTCCGGAGGCAGACAAGATAGATAGAGAAACCTTTCGCCATGTTCTCGGAAATTCGTACAGCACTCAACGTTCTGAAACCATTACCCAAAATGCTTTTGCCAACTTGTAACGAGGCCAGCTGAGGACTT